GGGGGGGGGGTGCTAGTCGTACTCACCTTGTAGGTTTCGGCCGTGCGCTCGCAGTTCTGCTGCAATACTCAGACTATGCCTGGAACAAGGGAGAGTTTGAGCAACGAGCCGACAGAACAAATCAAGTAACTTTCAAGGGAGAGGCGTTATTGGCAAACTCCTATTTCAGCCAGACGTCGTGCCTCGAACGTGCGTCCATTTTAAAAACTTGTCCACCAAATGCGATATTTGCCCGTGAACACGCCAGCCACCCCCGCCGACTCCACGTACCAACCGCCGCCCCTGGTGAGCGAGCCGGCTCGCCCCCCACCTGCACTGAAGGTGCGGGGCAGCGGCGGTAGCGCTGGAGGGCGGGTACGAGACGCTCGTCACACTAAGGGCCGGCCCCGAGTGCCTGAAGGGAGAGACGAGCGCACCGTCGGGGCACGGCGGCACACAGCCAGCTCACACGGCAGCAAGCAGGACAACCACGAAGCTGGACATCCGTAGAAATACTCGTTTGCCGACAAAGCCCCTCGTTACCAAAGCCTGGACCGGGCGCCTCGCAGCGGCGAACCTGGGCATACCAAACAAACAGACGATTAATGCAAGCGTCAGATGGAAAGAATGCATTAGCAAGTAGGATGGTGAAACACCTACCGTGTCCGGCTGTAAAACGCGCCCCAACAACGCAGTCTTGTCCTCTGCGCTCGCGAGTGTCCCGGCCGCGGGGTCCTGGGGCGCTCCTCCGGCTATGGTGGGGGAAGTCCCACGGTGGTTGCGATGCTGGCTGTTGCTGGTGGTGGAGCCGCGCGACGTGGTGATCCTGGTGGCCCGCGTAGCCACGTCCGGTGCTTCCTGGAGTTGGTGTGCCTGGAACTAGAAAGGCTTTGAGCGTCGTGCCGAACGAGATTCCCGTAAGACACAAGTAAAGCGCAAACGGCCCGCTGGCCGGGGCTCGGCGGATCTCGCATCGCACCGGACACGTCGCCTCGTGGAGTTCTTTTCAAAAACTTGAACCGCAGTGATATTTGCCCGAGGGGGCGCGCCCACCGCCCTGAAGGGCCCACCTCTCCACGCACAGCTCCGTCCTAGGCGTGAGGCCTGGGCCCCATGGCCCCACGCCACGCTGAAGGCGCATCAGACAAGCTCTGCAGTGGCAGCAGGCAGGTACGCGAGTGTTGTCCGGGGGGCGTCCTGAAGGGACAGACAAGCCACGTAGCGAGCAGGCAACGCCCTACAGCCAGCTCACCACAGAAAGTAAGAACAGCCAACAAGGGTCCACACCCAGAGAAATACTTGTTCCACCGAAGCCCTTCACCTGGACGACTGGGAGCCGCATCGGCGACCCTGCAGAAAAAGAAAGGAAACATTAAAGCATGCGTCAAACAGACACTCTGAAGAGCAGCATGACACCTAAAGTCAGTAACATGTCTCAGCTAATACATTCTTTTATAGCTTATAGAGCCAGAAAACTGCATCAAGATTAAAGGTTGACAAATGATGTTTGTTGGACTAGTGTTCAACATCACAATATCAATGCATCACCAAGATTTAAAGATGATGACTTAAGGAGCAGTTTCATGTAACTTAGTTTAGCAATACCCATGATTGAAGCCTGTGAAGCTGAAGCCACCCCGTCATAATTTGTTTAGGATAAACTCATTGGCTGAACTTATCGTGACGCTGGCTTCAGTTCTCATGCAGCCAGTCAGTTTACGCAAATCAATTGGAGTGACTTCCAGCTACAATGGCATCACGAAGACTAGAAATCAAGTTCGTTCAAGAAACATTCAACAACAAACAGAATATTGAAAGTGAACTATGCGTAGCAGGAATGGTCACGTGGTACCAAGCATGCCATACTAATGAACTTATTTCTAAGAGAAGAGACATGAAATTGGAGAACTAATCAAGAAGTACTTTGAAGGTGGGGTGCACTGCGTATAGTTACACAACACCAAAACACATGTCAACGGATAAATGGGCCAGAGAGCGCTGCATGAGATCAAGGCAACAACTGTAGCCTTGCCACAAGAAGAGAAAACTCAAGACAATACACAGCAATAGCTTACCGGGTCTCCTACTGTTCCCAGTGCTACTGAACTGCTACCCCGCCCGTAACGCTCAGCGGCCCCAGGCTTGTCCTCCTGGAAAGAGGATAATAAACGATCAAATTAGTTCACCCATTCAGACGAGCGCGACTGTGAGCAGCTCCCGATCTTGGATGAGAACCGCGCAAGCCCTGCTCAAATCAACATGCTCAAACTGTCTAGGAACATCCTAACGGACAGACGAATACACCTCACCAAGTGGAGTGGTGAGGTTAGTCACAGACCGGCTGATCGGTGACTGAATGACTTATATGGGCACAAAGTTTTCGTTGGAAGACAAACACATCAGCAGGATATCGAGAAAACTTACTTAGCTAGCTCATCGGAATAAAGCTGAAGCACTCCTGCCATAGCGACGTTGACAATGTGACATGTTGACACAGTTAGCACAAATTCAATGAGAGAACTGTCATTCATTGCATCGTGTCTCCTTGGACGGTGCCTCTTTAACCCTTTCTTCTTCTTTCCAATTTCTTCTTGCTTCTCCCATACACCACAGTATTGCCAACCTCGATCATTATGTCATCCTGGTGTGATTTTGGACAAAAAATAACAAAAACCTGCATCCTTTTAGATTGAAAGACAATCTCTTTATTATGAAGTCCATCCGAATTTTAGTCACCCAACTCTGTGGTTATGATTGATAACAGTTGGCAACTAGTCGTCATCTCACGCTTTCTCATGGGTCTTGTCCCGCCGTTCATTTAAATCGTCCCCCTCTTTCCCTCTTTTCTGTTCTTCGATTTTGCACATTCGTATTCAGGTCCGCTTTCCGGCCAGTGAACCTTTTCACTTGGGCCTCTTTAGGACTTTAGTATTTAAGGGTTTACATTATTATTTTGGCCTTTGCAATGATTTCACATTGGTCAAACAAATTTATTTGAGTTCTCGGCTCGTCACATTGCCGTCCGGATCATTGCTAGGCTAATTGTGAAAGCTATAGTCCATTTTGTATGGTTTTCCGATGTTGTCAGCTTCATGAATCTGCATTTTCGGGCCAGCATGAGCGTCGACATAAGGTCTCAGAGTTCTAGCTTCAGCTTTAGTTATAGCTAGGTACTCGACCAATCACGGCATACTCACCGCCAACCGCATTAAACCCGCTGTAATGCGCGTAGAAATGCACATAAAATGTGACTCAGTGGTGACGCTTTAAGAGCGCATTGCAGCATTTAATGCGCATTTAGTGCACTCTACGCGCATTTAATGCGTCACCTCTGTGTCTCCTTTTACGTGCACTTCTATGCGTGAAGCGCACTTAATGCAGTGGCGCTTCTGGGGTGTGGCTACCTTCACCTTCGGCCCTTCTCACGGCTGGAAAGGGGGGGGGGGGGAGACTGATGGGGCTGACATTGCAATGTAAGTTGCGGTTACCGAGGTTTTCGGCGTTATGTAGCCTCTGCGAGTGCTTTGGGCTGGCGAAGAGAAGAGACGGGCGCGCATCGAGTCGAGGTCGAGACCGCCTCTCGGGGGGAGGGAACGACCAGCAGCGACAGGCGTGTCCCATCTCCTTCATCAATACAATGTGTTCACACTGTTAAAAGCCTGCGAAGTATTTTGCTCCTTTGTAACTACGAAGCATTTACTTCGCAATTACAACGTGATGCTTTGCAATTACGAAGTGACACTTTGCAATTGCAAAGCGATGCTTTGCAGCGTTTTCATTGCGTTGCAATTGCAAAGCATCACTTTGTAATTGCAAAGTAAATGCTTCGTAGTTACAAAGGAGCAAAATACTTCGCAGCTCTGCAAAGCGAATGCTTTGTAGGAATTTAACAGTGCAGTTCTCTTTCCCCGTCTAATAACGCCCCCGGATAAACGCATCAGACAATTACCTTCTACTTTTATTTTCTGGCAGACTTATCGGGTCCAAAGTGCACCTCCAGCAGCCACAGCCCATACTTTTCGGCCAAACTGCGGGAGTTGTAGGTCCGAGACCCGAAACGACGTCATTTTCATACACAATTTGAACTTGTTGGAACATTTTGTGTTGCCATGAGCCTGGAGGGTACCAGTGGGAGAGGGGAGGGGTGTCGCGGCTAAGTCCTCTTCTCGCCTCACCACAACGTCGAGTCGGTCGAGTCCCTCATATCTCTCTCTCTCTTTCACTGCGGTTTTCCGAGGTGTGCTTGTGCGGGGCGGTACCGTACCGTGGCAGTAGTTAAAATTTACCTTGAGCGAGAGACGCCATTCCTCTCCGTTCCACTCGCATCGCAAGAAGCACGGCATTAGAACTCGGCGCTCGACGCCGAGGCACTTTTTTGCGGAATGCTCCGTTCCCCGTCGATATAAGTTAGTAGGTTGTGAAGAACAAAAGTCCTCCTGCTCTGGCCGGCCGGCCAGCGGGCCCTTGTCAGCACGCCTGATGGATCGGTCACCGCACAGCGTGCGTGCCGCACGTTTTACACCAATCGATCAGCACGCTTTCCTCTTTTTCACCAAGGAAAAAAGTGTCCCTCGTGGTTTTTGGAGTACATTTAGCACACTTTCCTGTCGCTTATCGGTTCAGCGCAGCAAGCTGCTGTGCGTACACGTCGTGTGCGCGCTGTGCTTGGTCACAATCCACCCTACACCCCCTTTCCCCCTTTTCCAATGGCGTTAAAAAATACAAACTGCTGATTTGGAGGCACACGAATTTTTCCCACCTCTTTGCCCCATACTAAACTCCTCTCATTGGCAAAGACAAGAAGCAAAGTATTACTGATACTGATACCACGCAATGATATATCTGTTATCGCATACTGACTGCTATATGCGTGGGCTGGGCACATTCAGGGAAAGGCGGCGCGCGAGAAAAAACGTAGGGATTAACCTCGATCCATCATTATTGAATCTCGCCGCGGGACGAGGCAAGGGGTTAATACACACATCGGCAACGTGTTAAGTCCGATCGCAAATATCATTAAGAGGCTGGGGAAGAGAGAAGGGAAGTGGAGAGGGCGGAAAGGGGGACTGGGAAAAGTTTCGCATATTTTTGTTCATCCCCTCCTTCCTCCCCCCTCCCCTCCCCTCCCCTCCCCTCCCCTCTCGTATGCAAATCCTGTGTGCTCAACTGATCGCGTCACCCCTTCGGCCGGGCGCCAGGGCCCGTTACGATTGCGTTGCTCTTTTCGGGCGCCGCTTGCCTCCTCGCCTCGGATTGTTTCGTTTGCTCAAGTTTTAATCCAGAGCAGGGGGGAGTGGGGCCGCTAGGAGCCGCTCCCGGTAAAGCTTTCCCTCGCCGATGTTGGTGCGCAAAGCGCAGCGGCGCAGCGTGTACTGTGTAGACGTTATGGACGCTACATAAAGCCCTCTGACAACGGAACGGCATCCACTGCGTGCTTTTACACCTTCCCACATGGCGCGCACTCATTGGCTCTTCGTGTGTGCGAATCGAATGAAGCTTACCAGAAGAAAGGATCTTGCTGGGTAAGGGGGGGGGGGGGAGAGGGGCGAGTACGAGACTCCGTCTTTCCCGCCCCCCAATCTCTACCCTTCTCTTCTCCGGGTCCTGCGGCCTGCAGCAGCCTCTTCTGCTCGAGCGCGCTGTGTGTGTATGTGTGTGTGTGTGTGTCATCGACACCGCTACTGTTTGGAGGGCCCTGCTGAGGCGACGCGGATCGAAAAGCTCTTGAGGTGCTCTCCTCTTGGTGCCCCGCCCCGCGCCGGTGTTGCACAAAACATTGAGACACGACAACACAACGAGGGCAGCGCGATCCTCACAAGAAGAAAGACGAGGATATGGGGGTTGTATGCACCCGGTCCTCGCTCCCCTCCCCTCCGCTGCCGCTTCTGCTGCTGTTATTGGCACTGAATGAATTAAGTAGTGACATTATGAGAATCACGACGTCTTTGAATGGTGCGAGGAAGCCTGTTTCCGAAAAACGGATCACGTGTGCGATTTGAGGGTCTATCTGCTGCCGCGTGATCCCGCGCTGCTGGGGGTGCCCCAGGTAGAAAAGCGAAACACACACACATAATATCAAGAGCCTGATTCACGCCGCGTAGTACTTTCGTAGTTACACTTACAGCATGCACGCGTGCGCGTGCTGGTTGCCTACTCGCGCGGGGCCATAAGGAGCCGTGGGCAGCGAGGGTAGGCAAACCCCTTCTGAGGCATCGCCTTGTGCGTCGTGTTGCCCTCGATGCTCCGTTGCTCCAGCTTGGAGCAGCCGCGGGTCGCGTGTCACGCATTGCCATGTGCGTTGCATGAGCGCCGCGCCGCCGTTGTCACGCCCGCCTTACTATTTACCGACTCGGGCCGCGCAGCCGCGCCCTGTGGTGCCCTACATCTCGTCCTCGGGGATGTACGGCACGCACACCCTGCCCGCGAGAGCCGAGCGGCCGCTGACGGAGATAAAGATGTCCGATACGGTCTAACGTCTTGCCCAGCCATAAAACATTTGTCCTGGCCGCCGCGCCCGCCACCCCACCCCGCCCCGCTCCGCCCCGCCAACCCTTTTTTCACACACGGGCCAAAATGATCCACCACACATGACACGGCGTGGCGCTGCGTGGCGCAAATCGCCCGCTGTATATATATAGAGAGAGATCGCGGGCTGCACGGCGCATATCGCGGGAGAATGGGCTGCGGCGGCGGTGCGGCGAGGAGACGAGAGGAGAGCGAGAGAGAGGGAGAGGAAAGGGTTTGCGGTGGGAATCTGGTGGAGTTCTTTGGAAAAACGAACGGCTTTTATTGCGTTTTATTGAGGCGCGATTCGAAGCGGTCGCGGCCGCGGATGGTTTGGAAGTTCGGGGCGGACAGACAGACAGACAGACAGACAGACAGACAGACAGACAGACAGACAGACAGACAGACAGACAGACAGACAGACAGACAGACAGACAGACAGACA